TTGTGGTTCCTGCTATATTTACTCAACAAGCATCAAAGTGAGAAATTGTGGTTCATATTACGTGTACTACCTTAGTGGTACTGGGGGTAGATGTTATCTACGTTATTGTGGCACTAACTAGACACAAATGCAAACAAAGTCTATATGTAAACATATTCTATCATTTTACTAAAGTAGGCTTAATTGTAAAAACAAAGTAACCATCTAAAAAAAAGACTCTACTTACACTGTAACTTCAATATCAATATCTGTTTATAATAACTTTAGCAAAGAAAGAACAAGTGAGATAGCACAAAGTACTACTTTTAAGCCATTTTGCAGATTATAGTGCTTATAACGTAAACATTTTTATTATGTAATGGCGACCTAATTTTTAATGACACTCTTCACAAAAGGCTTCACAAATGACTTAAATCAGGCGGATTACAAAACTTCTTGATGCAACTGGCATAAAAAAACACATCTCTCGAAAAAAATGTCTAACTTGGAACCAGTCCTTCCGCGGCGTGAGACTTGGTCCTTGCGCCGCTTGCATGCAAATCTCGAGCAAAAACAAGAAAAAAATCATGTCAATGAAAGCTTAGAAAAAACTCCGAAACATATTATGTTAACGGAAAGAACACATCATTGAATGCTAATTACTGAGTCTAACAAAGGCATGCATTTGCTAAATAAACTACGATGGACAACATGGTATAGTTAAGATGTGGGGACTGCGGGGTATGAAACTGCTTACTTTTTTTTTTGATCGGTCAAGGGAAGCACTCTGTGAAATCGGGAGTGAAGTGGATGTAAGGACTATGGGTACAGTCAACTCTCGTCTTGCGGAGACCCTGCTATTACGGGCTCATCGGCAATAAGAACAGCAGCTAAATCCCTTCCCATTGCGGACTTTTGACTTTTGTTTACTATCAAGGACACTAACTCGGGGCCCCGAGAGTGACCTTAATAACAAGAGTTGACCACACAAGGTTGAACCCTGATTTTTTTTTTTTACTATGTTAGCACAAGAGTTTCATTGACAACTAAAGGCACAAGTTAATGACATTGATAACCTGTCACATGCTCTTGTACGGTGGCGTAATTTTACTTACTGCTAGTCGAGAATCTCTCAGGCTTTTCCTTTCTTGTGCAAATTAGGGCTTTGTTTTTCAGTAAACCTCACTGGGACCATAGCTATTAGAGGAGACTGGTTATGAAAAGCGGCAAACATCAATGATAAAAACAACAGTGCTGCAGTTTATGTTGGAAGCACCCTGAAAGTGCACAATCCTTTGTTTTCTGTTGACTAATTGTTACGGAATAAATTAATGCAACGTTTTTATTGGTCAATACAATCAAAATGATAGGAATTCTTTTGAACGTTGTGCACTTTCAGGTCCACAAAAAACATATAACAAAGGAGTCTGACGGGTTTCATAACCATTCCACTCAATTAACTATGCTGGGACAACCAAAATTTCATGAGAGATAAATGGAAATTAATTCTGGTCTAAGCTGTAAAAAGACGCCACCTCGCGTCATCATTGGACATGGGATATGAAGCGAGGACTTATTAAGTAAAGATCATTTTAAGAATATTAAAGAAGATACATCTTAGATATAACTACCTCTAGACAACTGGAAAAGACCGTGCTAAACTTCTCTCTAGTAGTTAATGACGCAGTAGTGATTAAATAAAAAGCTGTTTGCTAGTTAATTGTTTTGCCTTCTCATGTTTCGTATGCTTCATAAGTGGAACCCTTCCCAGACACGACAGGTTGAGAAAGGAAAGCAGAAGTAAACTTTATTGTGTCAGTAGAAATTCTTAAACCATACCCTGCCAGCAGAGCCCTTCGATCTTCCTGAATTATCTAGGAAGATCGAAGGGCCTCTGTTCGCAGGGTACTTAAACCAAGTCTCCCAAGAAAAAAAAAGTTTTTATTTTCAGCATTTACTGGTTCGCACTATTTAACCTCGTCCGCTTTGGCAAATTACCTTTAACCACCACTGAATTTTTCGTCTGAAGTGAAGTCCATATATATTCTCGTGTGCCAGTTGTACGTTGTGTTATGCATCTGTTGTCAGTGGCACAATATCTAGTCTTGGTTCAAACTTACTTGTTCTATTAGTATGCGTAATACGACTCAATGCTGGCCAATCAAAGGAAAACATTGGATAAAAAAAAATGAAAATAGATGATGAAGGAGCTTCGAAAAATAGCAGCAGCCGGCAGTCACCATGATAAGATGTAACAGCATGTCTTTAAGCGAGTTACCGGATTAGGGGTGTCTCACGAGCAAGTAATGTAGCGCATTCCGGATACAGATGCAGATACCTAAGCTGGCCTATATCAAATTAAAGCTTAATTTATGAAACTGGCTTTCTTATTAAACCAACAGTTTTTTCCCCAAAAAATGCGATTTTTTGTAGGATTTTTTTTAATGCGAACGTCTGAATCAGCTTTGGAAAGCTAAAACTCACAGCAATGTTTATTTTTCACTGATTTGATTTGTTCCAGTCGTTTGGAAGTCAAAACCCTAAAGAGGCGTGTAGGGGTTTTCCCATTTTCGATTGCGATCGTATCAGAAGTTGCAGAAAAGAAGTTGGGTGATCGTATAAAAATGCCCGTAAACAAAAAAGAGAAAATAGAAAAGAAATAGATTGAAATTTGATCGTATGGACCCTAATGCCCGTTACCAACAATTCATTGATTGGTGTCAGGCCTTGAGCAATCGGTCTGGCGGTGCAGTCCATAAATCCAAAACAGTTTTGTAATGGTGCACCAGTCTGAGCAACTGCATTATCATATCTTTGCAGTGCTAGTGGATCCATAGACTGCAAAACAGTCCGTATTTTTGCGTATTCAAGTACGCGCGAGCAGTCAAACAAAAGGTCTGGAATATTAATGAGCTTTTACGCCACGCTTTACCGATTTCTTCGCTGATTTTGAGGAAAAAACCGACTGTTTCGCAGTCTATGTTGAATCGCGGTTGCCAGGTGCTTGAAAACGTGAAATTAACGGCATGTTTTCCTGGTGTTACAGGCGATGAATGTTGAGTTTTCCCGGGAGTTTTCCTTGTGTTACCCGAAATCAGAAAAGGATTCAGGAACGTGATATTTTCACGACATTAACCGTTTGGTAAAGTTTCCGGTTAACAAGAGAAAACGAGCTGTTCAACCCCGTTTTCCATGTGCTGGATAATGTGACATGAACAGCATATTTTCCCTCTGTTAAGTGATGGTGAATGCCAAGTTGTCCTTGTCTTTTCCGAAGTGGGAAAACGAGTCACGAACGCGATTTTTTCCTTACATTGACCGTTTGGTAAAATGTCCGCTTAATGAGAGAAAGTGCACTGTTCAACCACGTTTTTCGTGTGCTGGAAAACGTGAAGTAAACAGCAAATTTTTCCTGGTGTTAACGGATTGTGAACGCCGAGTTTTCCTTGCGAATTCCGCAATGAGAAAACGGATTGTATATTGAAAATGCCTCCCTGTAGGCATTTTCAATACATTAACCGTCTGGTAAAATCACCAGAAAATAGGAGATTTTTTGCCGTGGATGCATCAAGTCTTTTATGCGGCATCCATCGCTTGTCAGCACTTAGGGTGTGTTCCTTTCGGTGAATCCAAAAACGGATTTTAGATCTAAGAACGGATTTCGCGTTCCTTTCGGCAAATCCAAATCCGGATTTTTGATCTGGTGAATCCTTTTTGAAAAAGGATTCATTGGATTTGAAATCCGAAGAATCCAAATCCAGATTAACGGATTAGTGATCTACGCTGTTCCATTCACAATGGATCCGAAATAAGTCAGATGATCCAGCGGTATTTCCAGTTGAAGTATTCCCATAGAGGCCGTAGTAGTATAGGAGGGACCGAATTAACCTCTTTTTTGCGGAGGATTCTCATTAGAGTGCGGAGGAATACATTAACGCGAATGACGTCATAGGCTATTGTCTTGATCTCATGAATAAAATGCGCAGGAATCTCATAAAGATAAGGTCATGTGCTATTTTTAGATGGATGATGTCATGGTTGGTATAACCGGTTTGACAGGTTTTAGTTATTTTCGGAAGATGATGTCATATGTATTCCGGGGTACTATGATGTCATAGTTGTTTTGATTGGTTGACCGGAATTAGAAAGACGCTCATTGGCTGTCTCGTTTGACGAAGCATTCTAAACTTGTCTGTGACTTAAAATCACGGAGGCGTAATGTAATTATGCAAGTCCTATTTCCTGCTGCTGTGATTGTCCTAGTTCCGGTTCACTGACTTTTGGCGGGCAAATCGTGCTTAGTAATTAGGGCAAAGACAAACTAGCTCTTGTCCTATTTCCTGCTGCTGTGATTGTCCTTGTTCCGGTTCACTGATTTTTGGCGGGCAAATCGTGTATATTAAAGAGGGAAAAGGCGAACTAGCTCTTTTTTACACTGCAAGCAATGCTTTACTTACCCCTCCTCCTCACTTTTATTGTTTTCCCTCCTTCTCCTCCTCCTCCTCCTCATTTCTATTGTTTTCCCTCCACCACCACCACCACCACCGCCACCACATTTCTATTGTTTTCCCTCCACCACCACCACCACCACCACCACACCGAACAAAACAAAGTTCCCCAAAGTGTGCAAAGTGCACGATACTTAACTCGATACCCGCTGGGCTTTAACCGCGGGGTAGACAAACGATCAGAAAACGTCAATCAAGCGCCACGATATAGATCGAATATTTATATTTTAGCTCCTCTGTTCACTGAGGCCAGCGGTACCGTTCTACCGGCAACCCGACAATAGAGGATTGCTTTCTGCCTACGTGGTTTCTTGGGCCTTGTTCTGCCTTGTTACTTGTCTGAAAGAAATTAGTTCCGCACGTAGCAACAACACCTAATGTACAACAAACACATTGCCATTGCCTTATCTCTGTCGACTTTACTTTGACGAACTACTTAAGAAAACCTTAAGAATTTCGTTTTGTTGCGTTTTGCTAACTAGGACGTGAACGATAAAAAAAGATATAATTAATATGTGGTTTACAGGTCTCTATACTATGGGAAAGGACAAGCGGGGTATTGAAAGAGGACACCGCATTGAGTGTGAATGCGACGAATATGAAAGTAGTGCGGTACGATGCGACTATTGTGGCCACACACCTATGAGTCATGTTCCCTTTGACCCCAAGAGGCCAAGATATGACGCGACACCGGGTGCGACACCAACCAGAGAGGTATCTGTGGAAACAAATACAGTTTCTTTTTCGGTGGTTAAAGAAGATGGACCTCAACCTGTTAAAGAAAGGCTCGACGAGGGATTAGCCAGAGAGGGACCAGAACAACTGACAAATGCAAACGATACACCCGCAGCACATCAACCGGAGAGGGCAAGCCACGGCGAGGAGTTTGCCGAAAAGGGGGCAGATGCCAGCGGCGCAGAGCCCACAAAAGAAGCATCTGTCATAGAGGTTGATACAAGTGTCGATGATGAGGTTCTTCGCTTTCAGAGGAAAATCGACGCCGTCACAAAAACCAGACGATTCGTTATCAGCAAAAATCACGGAAAGCTTTTCGCATTTTGTAATGTGTGCAGTGTGAAGATGGTTGCCGGAAAAGAGCACAAGGGCCAGGATATGTTCCTGATTACCCAGCATATGGCCACTGCAACACATAAAACTAATAAAGCCATTTGTCTCTCACGCGAGAGCGAAATTCCCGCAGCGATTCTCGAAGTACAAAGGCAAGTAGAAGACAAGTACCCGCGCGTATTTTCCTTCACCAAGGCCTCCATATTGTGCCGTGCCTGTAAGGTTGAGTTCTCTGCCACGCACAAAGTCGTGTTAAGTAACATCAGGCAGCACGTAGACAGTCGTGGCCACAAAGAAAAGACCGGGAAGACAATAGCAGCAAGTTCAAAGGATATTTCATCCTTTTTCACCCGCAAGATTCCTGCTAACAAGGAATGATCACGACCAGCTAAACAGCTGTGCCAGGGATTTTACAAAGAAAAAATATCTTATGTAAATAATGGAGAAACTGTCGAAGTAAACCCGAAAATTCTTTTGCATGACCTGAAACCAGGAGAAGATAAAGGGAATGTGTCGTGGTACCCGGAACCTTTCTTTGCTTTAAATGAAACGGGGCATGAGAAGACAACAGGAACATTTCGAAGTAGTAACTGTTTAAGGGCAGCAGATGCAGGAACATTTACGGACGATATGTGTTCAGCTTGTTCGAATATACCCAAATTAGAATCATTCAGAAAAAGAATCCTGGAAACAAACAAACGAGACACGACAAGTATACTTAACGAATACCTGACTTCCAAGGAAATGGTGGAAAAGCTTAAAGAACAGAAAGAAAAACTTGATCATAAGAATGACCAGCTTTTCTTCGCAACGTCTACCGCAATTAGGTTACGAATACGCGCTGGAAGGACTGTTTCGCGAAATCTGCACTTTGAAAAGAATGGTAAACGGTACCGCCCTTCGTTTAAGTTATTCTTGGAAGTTCTTCTGATGTTGGGAGGACCCAGAATCGCTACATTTGTGGCAATAAACCTGGGAGGCCCAGAAATACATTCCATCTACCGGTTGCGCAATCAACATCGTGTTGACATAAGTGGAGGGATTCAAGAAAGCAATTTAAAGAAACTTGGGCCACTGTACAAAGAAGCCGTGGCTAACATCACTTCCTCTTCTGTACCTGTCCTAGCTGCAGAGGATGAGACAGCCATTATTGGCCATGTAACTTACCACCAGGATAGAGATGAGCTCTTGGGATTTTGTGGGGTTAATGGACAACACCATGCATGCCTTGACCATTTTGCTGTTAAAGTTGGGGATGGCGAGTAAGGTTTCACGAATATTATTAATGCCTTCAAGGAGTACAAGATCGGTACTTTCGGCAGGGCAATATTGCTTAACCCACTCCATCCAAATCTTCCCCGCATTGCCGTCCTGGTTATGCCCACCTGTAACAAGTTTAACCACCACTTTGTCTGTCAACAGTGGCAAGAAGTAAAGCGACTTTATGACCAGGAGTTAAAGGACATCGTGGGTCCCCTGATCGGTAACAGTTCTGATGGAGACTCGCGGAGGCGGAAAATAATGCTACAGCTCGCCACGGTCGATGTCGGTAACAGACTCAGGCCCATTCCTCGAAATCTAGGCTTTATTTTTTCTTGCAGAAAACTGGACACAGACGAGAATGGCTATCATGTTGAGGACATGTGTGATCAAGATTACGTTCACAACCACAAGAAACTACTCAACCCCTTGGATCACGCAACCCGTGTGCTTAGAATGGACGAGCATCTTGTTCACATGAACCATCTACAACTAGTCAGCGAAGTCTTTCCTTTCGCCGATCATGGTTTGGGCGTAAGTGACATCGAACGTCGTGACAGACAGAATTGGAGATCTGCTCAGAAATTAACATTTCCAAAGGTACAAGAATGTCTCGAAGCCTTGATTAATGGAACAGTGCCAGGACGTCCTCCTAATATCACCCTATTGGGAACGAAGAAGTATCTTTTAATCATCTGGTATTACGTGGAGATCTTCTGTAGCTCTGTTGCATCATTAACCAATAGAATCAAGTACGCAGCCATCGTTACACACTTCCTTGGAATTTGGCGGAATTGGGTCTATCGACACAGGAACTTGAAGCTTTCAGTGAACTTTATCTCCAGAGAGACCTACACAGATGTCATTTTATCCTGTCATTTTGCAGTGATGCTTATCGTCTACATGAGAGACAACTTCCCTCAGGAGGACTGTCGACCTGACATAACTGGATCCGATGTGCTGGAAGACTTCTCGAGTAAGAACGGCCAGTGGGTGGGTAACCACCATAACTACATCTTCGGAGATTTGAGACGCAATACTTCACACATGATTCGTTTAGAGGAGATTCGCGTGGACCCATCCGCTCCAGAATTTGCAAAGCCGCATCCCAAACAGGAGAGTATCTGGGGACAGCAGTACCCACGACCGTTCAATATGGCTAATCTGAAGGAGTATCCGGCCATTGGCGAAGAAATAGAAGTGTGGAAGCAAGGAATCAAGATTGCAAGAAGGTTGGCGAGGTCCGTTGGAATGATACCTACCGTTAGTGCTCAAGATGAAGACAATAACGATGATGACAATGACAACGATGGTCATCAGGGAAGTGAAAGTGTTAGTAACTGTCTGGATAACGATGGCCAACATAATGAGGCGAATGTAGGTGATGGCGACTATTGGTTTTACCGTCCCTTTGAGTGCTTAGGGAACACATTCCGTTCCAACCAGGACGAAGACGATGAAGACCCCGACTGTTCGCCTACCTCTTGTGACGAAGAGGATATCAGTGCTGGAGGTCCTACAATTTCAGGTAAAGTAACAATTTACCAACACAGCCTTATTTATGTCCACTTTTAGAAATTGTCAAACCTATGAAAAATTAATATTAACGGTACTTTTCGTATGGAAACATTTAATCACAGGCACTGTTGTATTGTTTTCAGATGAACTGCAGCCACTTTGTGAGGGTCTAGATGATGTGCAACCACTCTTTCATGGCCTAGGGGAGCTTGATTCAGATGAGCTGTCGAATGCTGAAGCGTGTTTGCCTAACCAGGGAAAGATTTCTCCCAAAGTTGCCATTCCTGGTAGGAACGAAGAAGTCTACAAGGCAACGCTGGTTTCTCTATTAAATGAGGATCCACAATTATCTCACGACAGGTATTACTTTGAAAATTATTCTAAACATTGGGCGACACGGTTGTGTTATAAAACAATTGTCAGTTAACAATACACAATTTGTATTTTTTGTTGCCTTGTTTGCTACAGATTGCAAAGGGTTCGTCAACGCCAAGAATATAGAAATTCAGGAGATGCACCACATTCTCAGGATGCCGACTCTAGTAGAGTTGCTTTGTTTAACGATTATGCAGTAGTGGACAGACGAAACAAAACATATGTGATCGGTAGTCTTGTCCGTCTTGTTCGTGTTGGAGACCATGGCCGTCAAGAGTATAAAAGACCTGTGGCATACAATGACCCGAAGAAAGAAAGTATTAAGTGTTTCTTCCAAGCTTACAATAAGATTGGACAGAATTCTTTCGAGGTTTCTACGGCCAAGGTTGTTGAATTCCCATTCACCGATATCCTGACGCATGTTAACCTGGCGGTCTCCGATGCAGGCAATACCCTCGTTATCTTTGAGGAGGAGCACAGGGAAGTCCAGCAAAGCGTGGAGAAAGTGTTTGAGCAACGGCGATCAAGGAGGACTATCACGACCGCTTTAGGATCTCTCTCGAGCACAGCACACGATGGGTTCATCGGCAGTGACGATGGAAGGGTGGTAGTTCAAGTTGAGCCAGAGCAGCAAACTGAGGGAGGCCCGCGAAGGTCCACCAGAAGACGCCACGCGATTGTGTACGATTCCTAAACTGCGCATAAATTTTTAAGTACCATATTTGGAAAATCACGCGAGAAAAATTAACCAATCAAAAATGCATTAGGCGCCGCTGCAAATCCTCACGTGCAAATCGAAATTCAAAACTTTGCGAGGAATTGCCGGAAATCTTTTATTTCGTGCATTTGCAAAATTCAAACAACCCTTATTGTACATGCGCGTTCAAAATCTGCGAGTTTCCAAATATGGTACTTAGCAAAATTGAATATTCTAACGCTGTGAACGCGCGTTACACGTTTAACCCCTTATGGGTTTCTGACAGTGTATTAATGTAAATATTTTACTCAGCGTACCAAGGAGTAATGTATATATTCTAATCCTTGTGAAGTATACACTTCAGGGTATCGTTCTTTTTATTGAAAAGGGCGGAGGTTGATTAGAACTATGGAAAGCCTAACCTCCACAAGAATTGTTTTTCATTTATTTGTATTCGGTTTTTAGTTCCGTTAGCTTTGTTCATCACAATGATTTAAGACCGTCGGATATTGTTAACGATCGTGTTTGTACAGAGATCTTAAATGATTATTGTACTTGTTTCAGTTCTATAACAAAGTAATAGCAGTAAAGAAACAGTATTGAAAGATGTATCATGGTTATGATTGCATATTATTAAACTAGGCTTATTCTAGTATTTTATGCTTGATGTATACATCCAATGTTACAGAGAAGAAATAAAGTTTTCCTTTTCATGCTATTAATAATTTTGTTTTTCCTTGAATAGGGTGTCATTTTTCGGCTTTCTTCCTTAAAAAGGGTATCAGTTTTCGCTTTCTTAGTCCTTAAATAGGGTTAGGGCTCACGAAACTTCGCGGCACACCCCTATCCAAAATTCGCGGGAGTACCCCCCCGAACACCTCCCGACCTCTAGTGATGTCCAAACTTTTTTTTTCTTGGGGGTTATGAATTTGCTTACACAAGGTACGAACGAAGTTTCATATAATACGTAAAAACTATTCGATTCTCAAAAGAGAATGCTGTTGTTTTATGAACAGCATTAATATCGAGTTCGGGCTTCAATATCCGTAAAACACAATTGTAACCTTTGTGACGATCTGTCACGCAATCTCTTATTTGCCTGAATTTCAGTGGTTTTTATCGCTCTCTTATAGAGAACGATTTCATTTCCCCAGAAAAAAACGTTACATCAATTAAAAGCCCATTTCTTCCTAACTTTACTGTTGAAATTTCACTTTATCCCTGATAAAGGTAGTATGGTAATTAATTTTTAAATTCCATAGAGAATCAGTGGGATTTCCCTCACAGGACCCTCTTATGTCAAGATTTTTTTCAAACTTCATAGAAATAATAAAATAAAATGGGGAAGAGATGTAGGATAAGCTGATCGTAAGTGAATGTCTTCTTGCACTACAGTTAAGGCAAGCGATTTGCTTAAAAACCGCTAACTTTCAAGTCGAAATTTCTCATGACTAGCACCAAAATTTATTATAGTCATTTTCTGCCAAAACAAAAAGTTATTTGACAAATTAATTACATTGCGATGAATAGCTAGGGGGGCGGATCCAGGATTTTTTTTTTAGGGGGGTGCATTCTCGTCTCTTTTTTTGTTTTGCAGAATACCACTTGTATTAGAAAACCGCAGGTCATCTCATGGGGGGGGGGGGGTGCGCACCCCATGCACCCTCCCCCTAAATCCGCCCCTGAGCTCAGTATGGACTAATGATAGCCAACGTTGAGCGATTTTGACCTTTTACACTTTTGCCGCTATTTTCCGATTTTGTTTGATTCTTGCGGGCATTCGTTCTGAATAATTATAATAATTACAGAATACATACTCATGATATTTATATGCAAAAACTCCTAGGTGCGTATAGCCTGAACTTCGTTAATGGGTATATTGACAAATTTAAAGCTCTTAAAAATAAACAACTAAAGCTAATTATGTAAGTGCAAACAATAGACTATAGTGCTTTTACTATAAAATATCGCATTTAATTTGCAAACAAGGCTCCCTTTAGTGAAAACACGGCTATGAACCTGGAATAATTTTTTATTGGGCACGTCCCTTTTTTTTTTTTCTTTTGTGTCTGCGGTAAAAAGAGTTATAACAAAAAGCACAATATAATGAGGAAAACGAAGCTTTAAAATTTTGGATATTGCTCACAAGTTAGAGATAGGATTAAATGTTTGCCTGTATTGCCTGCCCATTGTACTCACAATGACTATAGGCATATTGCATGCCGAATAAAATCAACTTTTGTTGGAAAAAACTCAGACTGAGATAAGAATGCAAAAGGAATTGTAAAAAAAAAGCGATAAAAGAACCAAATGCTCCTTCTCAAAACAAATTGAAATTTGACAGGTGATATTATATCCTTAGTCAATACTTTGGAGTTTTCAATAAAAGAGAGAAAATGGAATATCAACCGTAAGATTTTGAATTTAAGTGCCTGTCATTCAAGCAAGATGGTTGGCATCGAAGCAAATGAATAGGGTTTAGAAAAGACAAGTTAGAGAAATTCATTGGTAAGAGAAAGTTTCTTCACGGTTTTGAAAGATTATTGTTTAGTTTTGCATGAAGGGATCTAAGGGTGCTTTTTATATCTTTGAAAGGACAGAATACTCTTTCTGCGTTGGGTTCCAGCGTTTGGTGAAAATTATTTTTAGTTTTTGAAAGGTACCATTAACTTGGCGTAAACGAAAATATTAATGAACTTTTAGCAGAACCTTTTAAGGTTTTCATTTTTAAGAGAAATGTTTTTTTTCGTTTTAAACACTCAAAGTTTGATTTGTTGAAAAAAATTAACAATGCCTTACAAAACATTTCTGTCCACTTACAGTATGTATAAGATTTTATTATTATTTTTTTGTTTTATAAGTTTATTGTTTAACTTTTTACGCGGTTTTTTACTTAACCTAGGCCTTAAGGCTTATGTTTTGCTGTTAATTAATGTCATATCGCTTTTAATTATTCTCGACGATTGTTACACGATAATGAAAAAGCATTGAATATATCTCTGAATTTGGCCCTTTTTTGGCAGTTACGATCATTCATATTTTACAAATTCGATTTGTGACCGTTAAACGAAAGGTTAAATTAAGTTACCACAACAAAAAAAAAATTGTGTTGCTGGAGCCAGATACAGAGATATTCTCGTTTTAGCTTTCCCTCTACACGTCAAAGGCGTTTTCAGGCACCCAAAACGCAGGTATTCGAAAATGGCCCCCAGTGAAAAATTTTCTGAAAACGCTGGCCTATTCTTATCATAAATCATCCAGCGCATGCTCTAAAAGGGATGACATCGTATTTCGTTAATTAGCGTTTTTCCGTCGAAGGGCGTAAACGATTCAAATAGGCTACGTGTGGACGTTTACCAATTTAATTTGTTTCTTAGTACCGAAGTTCTTAGTTTTGGAGAGAAAAAATAGGGTCATTAATAAATATAAAAGATGTAGGAAACAGTTTTGACAACGCTGGTTGCGTGATATCCAAAACAGCTTTAAAGCTAATTGTATAAGTGCAAACAATATAATTATACCATTATAATAGTGCTTTCAGTATAATATATCGCATTTAATTTGCAAGCAATTCTTCCTTTAGTGAAAACACGGCTTTGAATATGGAATAACTTGTTTTTGGACACGTCCCTATTTGTTATTTTTCTTTTGTTTCTGCGGTAAAGAAGGCAACCGTCCAAACGAATAACAAAAAGCACAAGGATAACGAAGCCTTAAATTGGTATGTTTGCTCACAAGTTAGGGATAGGATTAAACGTTTGCTTGTATTGCCCGCCCATTGTGCTCACAATGATTATAGGCATATTGCGTGCCGAATAACTTCAAATTTTGTTGGGAACAACTGAGATAAGAATGCAAAAGGAATTATAAAAAAAGCAATAATTAATAACCAAAATGCTCCCTCTCAAAACAAATTGAAGTTGACAGGTGATATTATATCCTTAGTCAATACTTTGAAGTTTTCAAAGACAAATAATGAAACATCCGCCGTAAGAGAGTGAATTTAAGTGCTTGTCATTCACGCAAGATAGTTTCTGTTAATTAGCCGGTTTTGTGGGATCGAAGCAACAGAATATGGTCTAGCAAAAACAAGAGAAATTCATTGGTAAGAAAATTTTTTTCCGGTTTTAAAAGATCATTGTTTAGTTAATAGCGTGAACGGATCTAAGGGGTTACTGCTTAACCCTTCAAAGGACAGAAAACTCCAACTTTCTTCATTTGGTTCCGGCTTTTGGTGAAAATTATCAAGTGTTTAAAAGGTAAAATTAAGTTGGCTAAACGGAATTATTAATAGTCTTTTAGTAGTAACTTGAGGAGATTGTCTTGTACCGTTTACGTTTTCGAAATGTTTTTTGTTTTTGTTTTTTCGACTTTTGGCACTTTTTTTTTGCAGTTACGAACATGTTTTTCAAATTCGATTAGTGACCATTAATTATAAGCGAAAGGTTATATTAAGTTACCACAAAAAAATTGTGTTGCTGGAGCCCGCAGAGATTTTCTCGTTTTATCCTTCCCCCTACACGTCAAAGGCTTTTTAGGGCACCAGAAGTGTGAAGTTTTCTGAAAACGCCGGCGTATTCTTATCACAAATCATACAGCGCATGCCCTAAAAGGGATGATACCGTATTTCGTTATAGCGTTTTCCCGTCGACGGGCAAAAACGATTCGAATACTAGTCTACGTGTGGAGCAGAAACGGGAAAAACTCTCTGTTTTTCAAAAATATCCGGATACGCGAGGACGAGGTCTGAAATGATTTTACTGAGTGGTTGGAGATATATTTTTACTCGCTTACCAATCGTCTCATTTGCTGTAAAACACCCTTCTAAAATCTTTCAGATTTAAGGACCTATTAGGAGGATTTTAAGGTAGAATTAAAAATAAATAAATAAATAACCGGGATATTTTGAAAAGATTATTCTGGAATGCTTTGTACCGATTAGTTCTTAGCTTTGAAGAGCGAAAATAATTTATTATTATTATTATTATAAAGATGTA